GTTATTAACCTTAAGAATACCAATAGTTCGTACGCTCAATGCGCCACAACTTGTAGAAAGTTCATTGTTACTAAAATTTATATCTTTTAGGCATCTTTGGTTCGTTTTAACCCCCCCCCCTCCTCCCGCAACAATCCGATGATGATGTCAGTGCGCCCCCATAAAACAGATTCAACTACTGCTATAATAACAAAATATGCTCAATAGCAAAATAATTAAAAATTACCAACAAAAATGAGAAATGCGTAGAAGAAAAGAAATATTAATGAATGCAAAAGCGTAAAAATACAAAATTTCATTAACAAAATTCAGCCGCAATTACATATCGACGTTTTTCGATTGTATTACCAAAGTAGTAGAATCAGAAAATAATAGGCGGAATAACGAATCAGGCATACTTCTTTAAAAAAAAAAAAAAAAATATAATATATATATATATATATATATATATAGACATTGCGAGTCATTGCCAACTAAATTGCATTTTCAGGATTCATACCCCATTCTCCAGGCTAATTAATATCGGTAACACGTTCGGTATTATCATACAGAAGAATATATAGATATCTTCAATAATGCATATTCCATATCAATGAACGAAAAACGTAACTGAGTCGACATCGACAATCTTTATTCGAATACAAGAAACATCAACTGCATTGTAAGAATGAGTGACCTGCATTCTAAAACATCAAATGTAAGAAAATCGTATTCAAGTTACGAAAAAATTTAACAAACAGAATTACTGGTCACAGAACTAAGAGAAGATTTGAAAGTTCTGAGAAGTTATATCTTCCCCCCAAACTTCAACGATAAAGTTAAGAATCTATCAGAGGTAATCACATTTCCAAATAACATCCGAATAATGAATAACGAGCAAATATATTTATATTTAGAAATACAGTCTTTAAAGAAGACCTAATATTGGCCAACACACCAACAACGTTAAAATTCACACATGTAGTCAACGATCATGATTCGATTATGAACAATGTTTTTTAAAAAATCATTTTTAAGAAGGGATTATTAAAAACCTGCCGGCATCAACTCAATGAATGACAGATTTTTCAAAAGAGACAAAAAAATGATTGCCTGTTCATTCGTCGTAATAATATAAACAAGAAAATATAAAACGGAAAAAAGCGTGATTTTATTTTAACTGTAATTATTTAATGTTCCTCCAGTTAGTTAGTAATAATACTAAAATGACGATTAAAGATGCTTTGCAAAAACAATCTGTAGATTGTTACCGAGTTTTCCAGAAGAATCATAGTTATATCTTCCCCCCAAACTTCAACGATAAAGTTAAGAATCTATCAGAGGTAACCACATTTCCAAATAACATCCGAATAATGAAAACGAGCAAATATATTTATATTTAGAATTACAGTCTTTAAAGAAGACCTAATATTGGCCAACACACCAACAACGTTAAAATTCACACATGTAGTCAACGATCATGATTCGATTATGAACAATGTTTTTTAAAAAATCATTTTTAAGAAGGGATTATTAAAAACCTGCCGGCATCAACTCATTGAATGACAGATTTTTCAAAAGAGACAAAAAAAGATTGCCTGTTCATTCGTAGTAATAATATAAACAAGAAAATATAAAACGGAAAAAAGCGTGATTTTATTTTAACTGTAATTATTTAATGTTCCTCCAGTTAGTTAGTAATAATACTAAAATGACGATTAAAGATGCTTTGCAAAAACAATCTGTAGATTGTTACCGAGTTTTCCAGAAGAATCATAGTTATATCTTCCCCCCAAACTTCAACGATAAAGTTAAGAATCTATCAGAGGTAACCACATTTCCAAATAACATCCGAATAATGAAAACGAGCAAATATATTTATATTTAGAATTACAGTCTTTAAAGAAGACCTAATATTGGCCAACACACCAACAACGTTAAAATTCACACATGTAGTCAACGATCATGATTCGATTATGAACAATGTTTTTTAAAAAATTATGTTTAAGAAGGGATTATTAAAAACCTGCCGGCATCAACTCATTGAATGACAGATTTTTCAAAAGAGACAAAAAAAGATTGCCTGTTCATTCGTAGTAATAATATAAACAAGAAAATATAAAACGGAAAAAAAGCGTGATTTTATTTTAACTGCAATTATTTATTGTTCATCCAGTTAGTTAGTAATAATACTAAAATGACGATTAAAGATGCTTTGCAAAAACAATCTGTAGATTGTTACCGAGTTTTCCAGAAGAATCATAGTTATATCTTCCCTCCAAACTTCAACGATAAAGTTAAGAATCTATCAGAGGTAATCACATTTCCAAATAACATCCGAATAATGAATAACGAGCAAATATATTTATATTTAGAAATACAGTCTTTAAAGAAGACCTAATATTGGCCAACACACCAACAACGTTAAAATTCACACATGTAGTCAACGATCATGATTCGATTATGAACAATGTTTTTTAAAAAATCATTTTTAAGAAGGGATTATTAAAAACCTGCCGGCATCAACTCAATCAATGACAGATTTTTCAAAAGAGACAAAAAAAGATTGCCTGTTCATTCGTAGTAATAATATAAACAAGAAAATATAAAACGGAAAAAAGCGTGATTTTATTTTAACTGTAATTATTTATTGTTCATCCAGTTAGTTAGTAATAATACTAAAATGACGATTAAAGATGCTTTGCAAAAACAATCTGTAGATTGTTACCGAGTTTTCCAGAAGAATCATAGTTATATCTTCCCTCCAAACTTCAACGATAAAGTTAAGAATCTATCAGAGGTAATCACATTTCCAAATAACATCCGAATAATGAATAACGAGCAAATATATTTATATTTAGAAATACAGTCTTTAAAGAAGACTTATTATTGGCCAACACACGAACAACGTTGAATCAGAGACTGAAAGAAATAACAAGAAACATATAATATACGACAATAAAGTTAATAGTAAAAAACGTTTCCGCACAAATAATTACGGATTATAGAGCTAGTACCAGAGATAGATACATCAACAAATAAAACTGAGAAAAGATAAATCGTGTCAAGTACTAATTTAAAATAACGATAACAGAAAAGATGCGAAAACTACTTTCATTTACAGCTATTTTTTTGGAGATATGGAGTAACTTTTTCGGTTTGTCAACATACAAAGTTAAAAAGAACGTTGACACATGGGACCAACATGGTTCAGTTACTGTTAAAAGTGAAGAATGTTGTATCATAAAAAGCTCACACAAAAACGATTTCGAATCCATAACATGGGAAAATACCGCTTCAAAATATAGTTTATAAGTTTATAATATAGTTCAAGAAGTGTGAAACAAGGACAATAAAAATAAAATTTAGCGTATGAATAAAATACGTTCACAGAGCAAATGCAGACATTCATACTGAAATAGCAATCAACGCGCACTAGTACGCAAGAACATATACAACATAAGAAATACATAATAACCAGTTGAGTTGAGTGGTTGCATATTAATATAGAAGGTACCTGAGAAAAAGGTAAAAGTAAAAAAAAATACAAATCATGCCAATATTCATGAAATAATAAACATAATTACATATTAAAAATAAAATACGGGTCATAGACCTAATACTAACATAGGATGTACTGGAAAATATTAAAACCAATATACTAAACTTAATCAAATTCTAGCCATTAACAAATTACGTCCTCAAGATTTCAGACCGAATAATGGAAAGAAATACAGAAAATTATTGAAAAATTAATGATATCGTTGTGTTTTTGTTTAGTAAAGAATGGAGATAGCAAAGGGAAATCGAAAAATGTAAAGTACGTCCAAATGAGGGGGGGAAAAACGAGGTATATGCAAGTGTTATCATTGAGTAACCACAATATAATTAAAAAGACCTTAATAATAATAGATAATTAGGATGAAGAAACTTCATGTACTACAAGAGAAATCGAAAAGCGACGAAATCTTTTAAATATAATCTTCCTTTAAACTATAATCCTTCCTTGCCTGTATCACGAGGGGAAATCGAAAAAGCTGATGGCATAGATCACCTTTAAACAATAACTTAAGAATTGTTTATCGTTTAAGAAGTGGAGGAATGAGCCTTTTACAATGTACAAGTTTAGCGTAAATTTTACAAGTTTAGTTTGCTACAACTGTAGCGTAAATCTAAATGAGGTAATTTTTTTTTTTTTTTAAAGCTTATTTATTGAAAAATATTACAATCTGTCTCAAGGACATTGATAATAGTGTTCACAGATCACAGAGGTAAAAATAAGGAAGAAAAACGAGATAGAAGACAAAGTTATTAGCAAGTGTTATCGTGGAGTAAACAAGATTTTTGAACTATAAGCTAAATACAAGAATCGGTAAACAAGAAAATTCTAGATAAACAAACTCGCCTTGTTGATAAAAGTTCTTGAAATGTGCAAAAACAAGAAAAGTTGAATAGATAAAACAGCTTTATTATAAAAAAGTTTATAAGTTTTATTTTAACGACTTTTTCCAAATAAGTTTTACAGAAACTATTAAAATTGAACTTTTTAAAAACGTTTCGAACAAATTTCAACTCCTGCTTCGAAACTGCCTAGATTTCATCAAGTATTGCAAACCAAGCAAAAATGAAGAAGAAAAAAAAGAAAGAACATAACTATATAAACGCAAGTGTTATCGTCGAGTAAACAACAAGATACATAGGAAGACCTGGAACTCTCCTCTACGACAAGAGAAATCGAAAAAGCGACAAAATCTTTGAACTATAATCAACAATTGGTAAATGAAAACCGTTTCATCAAAATTTCAATCCCTGCTTAAAATCTGTCTTGATTTCATCAAGTATTGCAAACCAAACAAAAATGAGGAAGAAAAAAAAGAAAGAACATAAGCATATAAACGCAAGTGTTATCGTCGAGTAAACAACAAGATACATAGGAAGACCCGTAACTCTCCTCTACGACAAGAGAAATCGAAAAAAGCAACGAAATCTTTGAATTATAATCTAAATACAACAATTGGTAAATGAAAACCGTTTCATCAAAATTTCAATCCCTGCTTAAAATCTGCCTTGATTTCATCAAGTATTGCAATCCCAGCAAAAGTGAAGAAGATACGTATATACGCAAGTGTTATAGTCCAACAAACCACAAAATAATTAGGAAGACCCAGAACTCTCCTCTACAACAAGAGAAACAAAAAAAAGCGACGAAATCTTTGAACTATAATCTAAAAACAAGAATTGGAAGATGACATTTAAGTATAATGGAACGAAATACAGAAAATTGTTGAAAAGTTGATGATATCGTTGTGTTCTCGCTTAGTAGAGAATGATGATAATTTAAAAGCCCAAAAATTTTTCAATTGCAAATCAAGCAAAAGGAGTTAAAGAAGCCTTTGACAGGAGAGGAATGGACTGGAGTAGGAATGGATATTATTGGATTAATCTCTATAAGAAGGAACCTCGCACTGCTTAGCGGTAACAGAGGACTGGATTAAGTAAGTAAGTAAGCAAAAATAAGGAAGAAAAAAAATAAAGATGATCAGCATATACGCAAGTGTTATCGTCGAACAAACCACAATATAATTATGAAGACCCAGAACTCTCCTCTACGACAAGAGAAATCGAAAAAAGCGACGAAATCATTCAACTATAATTTAAATACAACGATTGGTATATGAAGTTTAAGTAATGAAGAAGGCTTGCCAATCTAATAACCTTCATTAAATTCTAGCCAGCATCAAATAAAGACAATGATTGAAAAGGTGACGGCATCCTTTAACCAAATGTCAAAATATAAGTAACAAAAGATATCGTATTGATAAAGGCAGATCAAGATTAATCAAGGCAGATAAATATTAATCAGAAAGGCAGAAATTAATCAATGATGATGAATTATCAATAATCACTGCCCCACCGTGCCATTTAATGATAGGCTTGCTTAATGCTTATGCTTCGTACATCACTATTTGTTTAAACTTATTAATTTTGTTTTAACATTAGTCCTTTAGTAATTTCTTAGAAAGTAAAACATATCTTGTGGTTTAACCATTTATGATGAATAATTAGTAAATATATAGATTTTTTTTTAAACTTACTTATTGAAAAATATTACAATCTGTCTATAAGACATATATAGATATTAGTTATTTTTTTTTTAAACGGTTATGGTGTGAATGTGTTCACAGGCCAATTGCCCGTAAATATATTTTGGTATTTGGTAATTGAACGATTTGTTTTGTAAATTAAATATGTCTTATAATTTTATTTTTGTTTATAGAGGAGATTATATATAATTACCACCAAATACCTGATTTTTTTTTTTTATTTTATTTATATTCGCCCTAATTTTTAGATAGTTGTTTGTTTACTATCTGGTTTGGAATGGGCCTTTTTATTTTTATCAATCTAATGAATTTCTTCTACCCATTGGAAATAAGCATTAATTTTGTCGTCGGGAATGACAAATACTAACTACACTAGAGCGAGTTACTAAGATTTAGTGATAGGTTTAGTAGTTGTTATAAACTTCTTTAAATCTTTATAAGTGTGTGTATGTAGTTCATCGAAAACTATTGTTTCCTGTAACAATGCAATTTGTGATATTATCTGCGGATTCAAAGGAATTATTGGTTAACAATTTTTTCTGAATGGTGAGACACTTCATAATTCTTTAATAGAAATTAAATTTGATGTATTTTATTAGTTGAAATGAATATTTATTGAAGAGAAGAAGAATCATTTGGATTCTTCGCAACAAAGGTTCAACGATAAACTTAAAAATTTAGCAGAGATGGTCTCATGTCTAAATTACAACCGCATAATATTTTACGAGTACATATATTTATATTTAGAAATACAGTTTTTAAACAAGACATATTATTAGCAATTACCGAAACAAAGCTAAAAACAACGTTGAAATCCAGATATGTCGTCAACGATCATGATTCGATTACGAACAATGTTGTACCAGAAATCAAAGCAAGAATAATAAACATACAATATACGACAGTAGAGTTAATATTAAAAAACCTTTTCGTAACAAAAACTCGATTTTTTTTAATGGTGAGACACTTCAAAATTCTTTAATAGAAATTAAATTTGATGTATTTTATTAGTTGAAATGAATATTTATTGAACAGAAGAAGAATCATTTGGATTCTTCGCAACAAAGGTTCAACGATAAACTGAAAAATTTAGCAGAGATTGTCTCATGTCTAAATTACAACCGCATAATATTTTACGAGTACATATATTTATATTTAGAAATACAGTTTTTAAACAAGACATATTATTAGCAATTACCGAAAACAAGCTAAAAACAACGTTGAAATCCAGATATGTCGTCAACGATCATGATTCGATTACGAACAATGTTGTACCAGAAATCAAAGCAAGAATAATAAACATACAATATACGACAGTAGAGTTAATATTAAAAAACGTTTCCGTAACAAAAACTCGATTTTTTTTTAATGGTGAGACACTTCAAAATTCTTTAAAAGAAATTAAATATGATGTATTTTATTAGTTGAAATGAATATTTATTGAACAGAAGAAGAATCATTTGGATTCTTCGCAACAAAGGTTCAACGATAAACTTAAAAATTTAGCAGAGATGGTCTCATTTCTAAATTATAACGGCATAATATTTTACGAGTACATATATTTATATTTAGAAATACAGTTTTTAAACAAGACATATTATTAGCAATTACCGAAACAAAGCTAAAAACAACGTTGAAATCCAGATATGTCGTCAACGATCATGATTCGATTACGAACAATGTTGTACCAGAAATCAAAGCAAGAATAATAAACATACAATATACGACAGTAGAGTTAATATTAAAAAACCATTTCGTAACAAAAACTCGATTTTTTTTAATGGTGAGACACTTCAAAATTCTTTAATAGAAATTAAATTTGATGTATTTTATTAGTTGAAATGAATATTTATTGAACAGAAGAAGAATCATTTGGATTCTTCGCAACAAAGGTTCAACGATAAACTTAAAAATTTAGCAGAGATGGTCTCATGTCTAAATTACAACCGCATAATATTTTACGAGTACATATATTTATATTTAGAAATACAGTTTTTAAACAAAACATATTATTAGCAATTACCGAAAACAAGCTAAAAACAACGTTGAAATCCAGATATGTCGTCAACGATCATGATTCGATTACGAACAATGTTGTACCAGAAATCAAAGCAAGAATAATAAACATACAATATACGACAGTAGAGTTAATATTAAAAAACGTTTCCGTAACAAAAACTCGATTTTTTTTTAATGGTGAGACACTTCAAAATTCTTTAATAGAAATTAAATTTGATGTATTTTATTAGTTGAAATGAATATTTATTGAACAGAAGAAGAATCATTTGGATTCTTCGCAACAAAGGTTCAACGATAAACTTAAAAATTTAGCAGAGATGGTCTCATGTCTAAATTACAACCGCATAATATTTTACGAGTACATATATTTATATTTAGAAATACAGTTTTTAAACAAGACATATTATTAGCAATTACCGAAACAAAGCTAAAAACAACGTTGAAATCCAGATATGTCGTCAACGATCATGATTCGATTACGAACAATGTTGTACCAGAAATCAAAGCAAGAATAATAAACATACAATATACGACAGTAGAGTTAATATTAAAAAACCTTTTCGTAACAAAAACTCGATTTTTTTTAATGGTGAGACACTTCAAAATTCTTTAATAGAAATTAAATTTGATGTATTTTATTAGTTGAAATGAATATTTATTGAACAGAAGAAGAATCATTTGGATTCTTCGCAACAAAGGTTCAACGATAAACTGAAAAATTTAGCAGAGATTGTCTCATGTCTAAATTACAACCGCATAATATTTTACGAGTAAATATATTTATATTTAGAAATACAGTTTTTAAACAAGACATATTATTAGCAATTACCGAAAACAAGCTAAAAACAACGTTGAAATCCAGATATGTCGTCAACGATCATGATTCGATTACGAACAATGTTGTACCAGAAATCAAAGCAAGAATAATAAACATACAATATACGACAGTAGAGTTAATATTAAAAAACGTTTCCGTAACAAAAACTCGATTTTTTTTTAATGGTGAGACACTTCAAAATTCTTTAAAAGAAATTAAATATGATGTATTTTATTAGTTGAAATGAATATTTATTGAACAGAAGAAGAATCATTTGGATTCTTCGCAACAAAGGTTCAACGATAAACTTAAAAATTTAGCAGAGATGGTCTCATTTCTAAATTATAACGGCATAATATTTTACGAGTACATATATTTATATTTAGAAATACAGTTTTTAAACAAGACATATTATTAGCAATTACCGAAACAAAGCTAAAAACAACGTTGAAATCCAGATATGTCGTCAACGATCATGATTCGATTACGAACAATGTTGTACCAGAAATCAAAGCAAGAATAATAAACATACAATATACGACAGTAGAGTTAATATTAAAAAACCATTTCGTAACAAAAACTCGATTTTTTTTAATGGTGAGACACTTCAAAATTCTTTAATAGAAATTAAATTTGATGTATTTTATTAGTTGAAATGAATATTTATTGAAGAGAAGAAGAATCATTTGGATTCTTCGCAACAAAGGTTCAACGATAAACTTAAAAATTTAGCAGAGATGGTCTCATGTCTAAATTACAACCGCATAATATTTTACGAGTACATATATTTATATTTAGAAATACAGTTTTTAAACAAGACATATTATTAGCAATTACCGAAAACAAGCTAAAAACAACGTTGAAATCCAGATATGTCGTCAACGATCATGATTCGATTACGAACAATGTTGTACCAGAAATCAAAGCAAGAATAATAAACATACAATATACGACAGTAGAGTTAATATTAAAAAACGTTTCCGTAACAAAAACTCGATTTTTTTTTTAATGGTGAGACACTTCAAAATTCTTTAATAGAAATTAAATTTGATGTATTTTATTAGTTGAAATGAATATTTATTGAACAGAAGAAGAATCATTTGGATTCTTCGCAACAAAGGTTCAACGATAAACTTAAAAATTTAGCAGAGATGGTCTCATGTCTAAATTACAACCGCATAATATTTTACGAGTACATATATTTATATTTAGAAATACAGTTTTTAAACAAGACATATTATTAGCAATTACCGAAACAAAGCTAAAAACAACGTTGAAATCCAGATATGTCGTCAACGATCATGATTCGATTACGAACAATGTTGTACCAGAAATCAAAGCAAGAATAATAAACATACAATATACGACAGTAGAGTTAATATTAAAAAACGTTTCCGTAACAAAAACTCGATTTTTTTTAATGGTGAGACACCCAAAATTCTTTAATAGAAATTAAATTTGGTGTATTTTATTAGTTGAAATGAATATTTATTGAAGAGAAGAAGAATCATTTGGATTCTTCGCAACAAAGGTTCAACGATAAACTTAAAAATTTAGCAGAGATGGTCTCATGTCTAAATTACAACCGCATAATATTTTACGAGTACATATATTTATATTTAGAAATACAG